GTCTCTTTCTGCACACACCCTAACCTGCCCCACCCCCACCCCCACCTCCCGCTGCCCCCACAGCGGCCTCTCAGGGACTCTGAGAGTGAGTGCCCACATCTGGAAGTGAGCGTCCAGAGGGCCTATCCCAATGCTGGGCAGGTCCAGGGGACAGCTGGCCCGGAAGTGCCCGCCCCTTCCCAGAGCCTGCCCTGCATCTTCCCTCCTTTTACTGAGGGCGTTCCTCAGTGCCCGGGCACCAGAGCCTCAGAGGACCATCAGTGCAGAGGGCATCCCAGTGAGGGCACTCCTTCCAGCCAGGCGTCAGGGAAGGCTCTCCGGGGACAAAAGCTGTAACCAGGTCTTAAAGGGCAAGTAAGGGTCAGCAAGAGATGGCCACGGGGCACTGCGAGGCAGTTCTCTGGGACCCCAGGGCCCAGCACAGGGCCTGCATGAAGCCGGTGCCCTCGCGAACACTTGCTACACGGCTCTCGGGGTGCCCGGCGGCATGCTGCACAGCTGGTCCCTCCTGCTGCCGCCCCTCCCCCAGGCTCTGGGCCACCTCTGCTGCCCTCCCTAATCGGCCACTGGGTTGGAAGCTGCGCCTTGACGCAGGACACAGGTGAACACTGGGGTGCTTGCCCACGGCCTCCAAGGGACCAGTTCAGGAAGGAGATGCAAATGGCAGGGGGGACACTGAGCTTCGCAGGACATAAACAGTGTCCCCAGACAGCGTGGGGAAGAAGAGCAGGGGCATCCTGCTCTGGGCAGGAAGCGGGGGACCTGGACCGGAGCTGACCGCTCTGCTCACACCCCTTCCGACCCAGGGACCCCCAGGGCTCCTGTCCCCACGTCACAGGGTCTTCCCCTCAGAGAGCTGAGGCCTGCTCTGTGCTCAGCTCCCCTCTGGGCTCCGTCACCACAGTCAGCTCGCTCCGGCCCTCCTGGCCCAGGACAGCCTCCAGGGATGTGAAGACAGAGGCCTCAGTCTCCGAATTTCCCCCCAAACAACACATCCCCGTTTCTTCACCTGGACTTGGTCTCATGCAGTTGCCAGTGCCCATCCTTCCAACCTGTCACTGCCACCTGCCTCACTTTCGTTTGTTCATGTTTTTCTTCAAAATATCATTTAACCTCTCTGGGCCTCATTGTCCCCATATGGACAATAGGAGTAATTTTGGGCCTCCCTCCCTCCCGCCAACAGTTATGGGAAGGCAATGAGGTGAAAGCTCTGGCTCTTAGAATCCTAACCAGGGGTCCCTGTGCCTTCCCAGGGGACACTTAGCAATATCTAAAAACACGTTCTGTCATCCTCGGCCGGGGTACTCCTGGGGTCTAAGGGGGAGAGGCCAGGGATACTGCTAAATATCCCACCATGCACCGGGCAGCCTCAGCAACAGAGTATCATCCAACCTAAAATGCCACGAGTGCAGAGGCTGAGAAACCCTGACCTAGAATAAGACTTTGGAAGGCGTCTCAGGCTCGGGGAGGACCTGCGAGTCTGTCGGTGAGAACAGTCTCCGTTTCAGAAGCCCCAGGGTTTTCCCTCCGTCTCCCAGCCCTCGCCACCAGGAGGCAGCAGAGCAAAGGTCCTGTAGAGCCCGTCTGTGGGGTTTGAGCCCAGGGTCCTTGACCTACAAGCTCTGTGACCTGGAGGGAGTCACTTAACCTCTCTGGGCCTTGTCCCCTTGTCTGTAAAGCAGGGATAATAACAGGAGCTACCCCTGGTGTCTGGCAGAAGCCTTACAGAACGGGGAGGCTGCTGTCCTCCTCCTCCTCCTCCTCCTCCTCCTCCTCATCCTCATCCTGCCTTATCATCAGGATGCCTTCCTGCTTCTCACCTCAGTCCTTCCCACGCGGCCCTCAGCTAAGGGGAAAGCAGCTGCTCAGTAAGTGTTTTCCGACGGATGCAGGAAGCTTCTCACGCCCCATTCTTGGCACCAGAGGTCTGAGGACTGCTATTGGGCTGTGTGACCACACACTTCTCTGGAAGGGGCCTGGCCAGGCCCACTTCCCCCACTGCCTTCCTCCCTGGCCTCCAGGGACTCACCCACAGGGTCCACGAGGTCGACGTGGTCCACAAAGTCCCGCTTCCCCAGGTAGACGGTGAGCTGGGGAGGAGAGGCACAAGGTTGCGTTAGCAGCTGTGGGCCCGAGAACACAATCCTGAAAAACCACTGGCCTCGCCCTGGAGAAAACCTTGGGAGCTGCCCTTGAAACGCCTAGACCCATCCCTGACCCGCACTGAAATCCTGATTGGCCTTGGGCGTGAGCCCCGGCCCCGATACTAAGAATAGCAAACCCTGGTGCAGTTTTGAAAGCACCTATTCATCCCCAACTCCTGTGAAGAAGTTGCTGTTGTTTCCATTTTACAGATGAGGACACTGAGCTCTGGAGATCTCTCTCTCCCAGCCCCGCTGAGGGTGGAGCCGCCGCAGCGCAGAGGTCTGCTAGGCGGGAGTCCTGGGCGCATCTCCGAGAGGCCAGGGAAACCCGGAGCAGGGATGCCCGTGTGAAGCTCTGAACACTGCGTTCCGCACGGTCTGGCAGAAACCCACCCAGGCAAGGTGTTGGAGCAGCGAGGAATCCGTAGCTGGTGCCCCCCTCGGCAGCCATCCTTCAGGGCAGACCCCGGGCTAGAATCCAGAGGGTCATCCTAGACACTTCCTGCTCCTCCACTACCCCTAAACCCTCACAGTGCACCCTCTCCTCTCTGTTCCAACAGCCACTCCTGCCTGGACTGCGTGCGCACCAGGGGCTCCGTGGTCTGCTGCCTGCAGCCTCACACCCCCTCCTTAGCCAGCCTGGCCCTCCTAAAATGCTAATCTAACGATGCTATTCCCCTCTGAAAACCCTTAATGGCTCCTCAGTGCCCAGAGGTAAGATGACAAATGGGTTTCATCCAAATGCCAACTCTGATCGATGGGTAGGAGCGCCTGGGGCCCTGGGCTGAGACGGAATCTAGGCTGGAATCCTGGCTCAGCAGGAAAGGTGGCGGGTGGTGTCCGCTGCGCCAGCCCACGAGGTGCCATTCGCCAGCCCAGGCGGAGTCCCAGCCACTAAGCCTGCCCCAGACTCCCCAGGACCCAGCCCTGCAGCCTCCCCCACCTCAGCTCCGGCTCCCTTGGCCTCCTTCTGGGCACTCAGATGCAACCGCCACGGTCCCCCCACACGCCCTATGATGTATGTGGGTGCCCAGATGCTCTCTGCACCCTGCCTTGCCTGGAAACACACCTCCTGGGGGCAGCCAGCCCTGACCACGGGGCTGGGTCCTGCAGCCCCTGGACGGCCCTTTATCTCCCATCTGCCACTTTAAATGGAAACGATCGCTCGTCATGTCTGCCTGCCCCATCTGGCTGTGGGTGGCTCGGGCTGTGCCTTATTTATCTCCATATACCCTCCCCAGCCACGACCTGACATGAATGATGTCAGTAATATCTGTTTGCTGAACTGAGAGGAACGCAGGACCGAGCCGGGGGCCTGTGCGAAGAAAGGAAGCAGGGCAGGCGCGGGAGCTGCCCCTGTGAACGAGATGACACCACGGTTCAGCAGAGAGGCTCCAGGGCCTCTCACACGGGGGGGGGGGGGGGGGGGCAGTGCCCTGAGGCCCTGGGACTTACTCCAGTGACTGCACTCACGCTAAACTCTGTGGCTGGCTGCGTCTCCCCACCCCAGAGCAGGGGCTCCTGAGAGTCCAGTGGAGGCTCCTGAGGAGACCCCTCCCGCTGTGGCGAAGGCTCCTAAGGGCCTCAGATGAGGGTGTGGGGGGTTCTGCGTGGTCAGTAGACATGCCCAAGAGAGGACAAGAGTTCGGGGTCAGGGAGGAGCTGGGGTGCAGCTGCTGCAGACTCACCTTTCCATTTGGGCTCGCCTTCTTGAACACCCTGTGGAGAGAAAGAGGGTCAGCATGTCGCACTCCGGGGAAGGCTCCTGCAGGACCGAGGACAGGGGGCCTGGAGCGGTTTTCAGGCCCCATCTAAGCCTTGAGAGCCAGAACAGTGCCCAGCTTGTTCGGTTCTCATTTTTACCCCCACCCCCACCCGAGCCACTGTTGCTGCCATGACAGCTCTCCGGGGCTCTGGCCAGGGCCCCTCAGTCTGTTCTTCAACCAGCAGGTGTAAGTCAGACCATGCCGCTCACCCGCTCAAACTCCGCCCAGTTCACGCAGAGGACAAGTCTTGTCTGAGAGCCTGCCCTGCCTCCTTCACCTCCCAGCATCAACTCCCACTTCCCTCCCTCACTCCTCCAGCCACAGGGCCTCCTTGCTGTTCCTCCAACTCACCAGGGTGGCTCCTGCCTCAGGGCCTTCGCTCTAGCAGTCCCCTCCCCTGGGGCACTCTCCCCCCATAGATCTGTGGCCCAGCCTTAAGGGCCGGGCCTTCGCCCTGTGCCCGCCACACTCCCGCTCCTTCTCTCACTCTGCTTTTCCTTTCTCCACAGCACTCTCTTTAACCTACTCCATAACTGCTGATTACACGTATGCCTGTCTACTCTGCTAACATGTCAGCTCCACCAGGGCTGGCATCTTTGTCTCTCTTCTTCACTGATGCGTCCCAAGTGCCTAGAAGAGTGCACCTAGTAGGTGTTGAATAAATGTGTTAATGAATGGCAGGTAGCAAGGACCCAATAAATATGAGTTGAGTGGGTGAGTGAATGAACTAGTGAAGGAATTAGCTGAGCAACTGAGGCCCAGGAAAGGGAAGGGAGGTGCCCATGGCCACACAGCAGAGCACTGGATAGTCAGGCAGAGGCCTGGTCCCGGACTCCGCCAAGTGCTCACTCTGCCTTCCGGAGCACACTGCAGTCTGCGGCAGCTCCCCTGCCCTCTGCCCCACAGCTGGGTGTGGGAGCCTGAGACCCCCTCTCCTCTCCCCCATCATTGAGCCCCAGGAATGCTCAGAGTAATGTTGGGAGGGAGAGAAGAAAAGTGAAAGAGAGAGACAGAGACCCAGGGGATAAGAGAACATGTTGGAGGAGGGAGAGAGCAGGAGAGAGACATGGCCTGGCAGGTGTGAAAATAAAAGATGGAATTAGAGCCCTCGCCGATTTGGCTCAGTAGATAGAGCATCAGCCTATTGACTGAAGGGTCCCAGGTTCGATTCTAGTCAAGGGCACAGACCTCAGTTGCAACCTCGATCCCTGTCCCTGGCACATGCAGGAGGCAAGCAATCGATGTGTCTCTCTCACATCAATGTTTCTCTCTCTCCCACCCCCCCGCCCCCGTCCCTTCCACTATTTATAAAAGTCAATGGAAAATTATCCTTGGATGAGGATATTTTTTAAAGGATAGAATTAGAAATGAAAAAGCAAACAAAAAACAGAAAGAGGGAGAAAGAAACAGTCAGAAGCAGAGAGAGATGGAGCAGACTCAGGGCCGTGGAGCAGGCCCACACGCAGCCAAGAGGGATCGCACAGCCCAAATCCTTCCCCAGGAGCAGGAGGCCCAGCAGGCATCCAGGGCCAGGCAGGGTGAGGCCACTGTGTCACAGCAACAGTCATTCCTCCAAAAAGGGGAGTGGAAGGGGCTCTGTGTTGCCTCCATAGCCCCGTCCCCCACACCTACCCCTTATTCTGGGGCTCAAGGGACCACAGCTGAGTCTGAGCTTGGCTTGCAAGGAAGGGCCTGGCACACTCCTCCCCCACCTCCCCTAGGAGTTCTGAGCTTTTCTCCTCCTCATAAATATTTATCAGTATTTGGAGTGTGAAGATGCCACAGTCAGCTGAAGTGTAATAACTGCTAAAGTGATAAAACAAAAAAATAAAAAGAAAAGAAAGAAATTCAGATCACATGGTTTGAACTAGCAGCTCCCAAGTTGGGCTGGACCTGTAGAGGGGACCGCAGATCCCTTAGAGGGACAGTGACATCCTGGGCACAGAAGGGGGCTGAGGGCCAGGCTGAGATAATAAAAAAGGGAGGAAGGGAGTTAGGAAGGAACTCGCATTTGCTAAGTGCCTAGTTAATTGTTTCTCCTAACAGCGCTGTAAAATGAGCATTATAACCTCTGTTTTATAGATAATAAACGAGGGGAGCAGAGAGATGTCGTAACTTGCCCAGGAACGCACAGCAAGCCAGGGGCTGTGTCAGGATCCAGACCCAGTTCTGCCTCTAGAAGCGGGTGCTTTCTATCAGCACTGCTGCTTTCTACAGCAGGTGCTTTCATCCAGATCAGAAGCAGAAAAGAGGGGAAATGAGGGCAGGAGAGGGGAGGGGAGAAATGAAAGGGCCAGTCAAGGTGAGGGGGAGAAGGAGGGTGACCAGAGGCAGGAAGCATGGCCAGGGGTGGGGAATGGTCTGTCACTGACTCAGTCAGCCCCTGAGGCCACCTCCTCAGGGAGCTGGGCTGCTGATGGTTTCCTCAAACAACAGCAGCAGCTGCCCGTGACCTGAGAGCATGTTAAGGGCTAGTCACGTCTCGAAGTATTCTTCCAGAAACACTGCTGAGCCCTCCACAATCCCATTTCCGAGATGAAAAAACCAAGGGTCAGACAGGCGAACTGCAGCTACGTTTCCACCTGTCACACAACCAAACCCTCCCTGAAGCAACTCCACCAGCTTCCTGACCCCAATGCTGTCAGTAAATGGACCCCTGAGGGGTGCTTCCAGGTCCCGGGACCCCCACGTGTGCAGCACCATACAGAAGGCTTCTGCCCGTCCACTTTGAAGAGCAAACACAAACGCACAAGACTGTGGTCCAAGCCAAACTTCCAGACTGTGGGATGGCTGGGTCTGGTTTCCCCGCCCCCCGACCCCCACCCTCCAGTCCCATCTATGCCCCACAAGCCTGGTTCTCAGAGTCCAAGCCGGGTCCCATACAGAACACACCAGGGGTGCTCTAGCTGACTAAGGCCCCTGGAGACAAGGAACAGAAACCCACCGAGGGTAGCTCTGGAAAAGGAGGAGGGGGTACGATAAGGAGACAAAAAATCTCACGGGAAGAATGCGCAGGCAGGATGCACTGGTGCTGGAGCCGGGATCAGGGAAGCCATCAGCCTCTCAGATGGTTGCTCTCTCTCTCCACCTCTCCCTCTGGGGCTGCATGTTCTCCCGGCTGCACTGCTCTCTGTGCGGCTGCTCCATTGTCTCTGTGGACCAACTCTCTCTGCTTACTCGGGGCTTTTCTGCTTTTCCATCATTTTTGGCTTGCATCTGGCTCTCACTCTGACCCTCTTCCTACTCTGCCTCTCACTCACTTCCCACTGTTAACTGCTGAATGGCCCAATTCCAATTCCCAGGAGAGAAATTTCATTGGCCAACTTTGGTCAGGTGTCCCATGCCCGGGCCAATCAGCTCTGCCTAGGGTGTGCCATATGGTCCATGAGACATGGGCAGAAGAAAGTCGATAGAGCGATGTTTTTCAAACCAAGGATCACAACCCATTAGATGATAATGAAGTCAACTTAAAGAACTGCCACCAGCACTTTGCTATTGTTGGTTTAATGGAATAGAATATATAAGCATGAGGTACAGGTAGCAAGGGTATAGTAGATATTACTATATTTACCAATACTCCAACCCCCTCCAAATCCAGGCAAATTTCTCCAGTCCTATGAAGTCAGGCACGCCCGTGTGGCTTGCTCTAGCTAATGAAACAGGAGTAGAAGTGTCACATCTCATTTCTAGGCAGAGCATTAAGGGCTGGTGCATGTCCACTGTATTCGTTTTTCTTGGAGGCAGGTCACCTCTCCCTGAACCAGGATGTTGGCTTCTCTAGATAGCCCCATTGCCCACCTGTTGATCAACTTTACACTAATATTCTGCTGTTGTTCAGTGAACCACCAGTCTTCCCAGTGTTCATTTGTGCCTGTAGGAAGAGACCTGCACCATGAGGGACCCAAAACAAAGTACCTTCCATGATAGATTACCCAACAACTGAGAGTTTATAATCCCGTGTGGTACAGCCAGACAATGGAATGTTACATTGCACTGAAATTGTGCTTGCATCTTTCATAACACAGGGAAATGCCTATGGTAGAATATGAAGCATAATAAATCAGGATTCAAAATAATACATTTGTCATGAGCTCAATTTGTACTCAATAAATACAAAAAAAAGAGATAAGATGGCAACACTCCTCAAATTGATCTACAGAGTTAATGCAATCCCTATCAAAATCCCCACTGGCTTTTCTGCAGAAAGTGACAGGCTGATCCTCAAATTCTTGTGGAAATGCAAATGACCCAGAATAGCCAAAAGAAAAGAAAATTTTGAAAAAGAAAAATAGAACAAAGTGGTAGGATTCTCACTCCTGAATTCACAGTTTACTACAAGGCTATAGTAATCAAGACTTTGTGATACTTCCATAAAGATAGACATAGATCAATGGAACAGAATTGAGAGACCAGAAATAAACCATGTATTTATAGTCAATTGATTTTTGACAAGGGAGCCAAGACAAGTCAACGGGGAAAAAACAGTCTCTTCAATAAGTGATGCTGGGACAACTGGATATCCACAGGCAAAAGAATGAAGTTAGACTCACTAGCTCACATTGTGTACAAAAATGAATTAAAAATGGATCAAAGACCCAATGTAAGAGTGACAACTATAAAACTCTTAGAAGAAAACATGACCTTGAATTAGGCAATGCTTTCTTAGATCTGACACCAAAATCACAGGCAATTAAAGAAAAAAATATATAAAACTGACTTCATCAAAATTAAACACTTTTGAGCTCCAAAGGTCACTGTCAAGAAAGTGAAAAGACAACCCACAGAATGGAGAAAATGTTTTCAAATCATGTATCTGATCAGAGTCTAGTATCCAGGATATATAAAGACCTTATTTCAATTAAATAATGAACAAGCAAATAACCCAATTAGAAATGGACAATGGATTTGAATAGACATCTCTCCAAAGAAGATATACATGTGGCCAATAAGCAC